AGCGCTCGAGCACCCGTGATTCAGTTCATGGTGTCCAGTCGTGGTGCCCAGTCGCGGCGTCCAGTCGCAATGTCCAAGTGGCCTCCGATCACGGCGTTCGGACGCGGTGCCTGATCAAAGTGCCAACCACGATCTCGAATCATGGTGTCCAATCGCGGTGTCCAATCGTAGCGTCGACCCTTGGTGCACAGTCGTGATGCCGTGGGGATTTCTAGTGCGCACAGGTGGCGTCAGATTGCGGCTTTCAGGGGCGGTGTCGCGGCGCCTACCCGTGGTCGCCAATTGTGGTGCAGGGCCGTGGTGCCCAGTCGTCATGCCCGATCGTGGTACTTGGCGGTTGCTTCACGCGGGATATCTATTTGTTCGACATCCACGGCCAAAGACCCCTTTGAGAGGTTGAATGCTCATCAAAAGACGCGATCAATAGACTGCTCGTATGAGTGCTTCACGCTTCACACGAGACGGAGGAGGCTCGGAACAGGACGGGCCGTTCAGACCACCTGATGAAGGATTACCATTTCAACCTCCCAATGAAGCTGTCAACCGACGCTTGAGGAAGTGAGTACGACGATTCCACCAGCCCTCTGAGTGCAGGTGACATAATGGGTTTCACCTGCCCTCTGCCAAACCCTTTCCCAATGCGGGAATGTGTTCACTCCCCCTAACACTCCTCCCATTGGTGTGGACGCCCAAGATGGCCCAAGATGGCCCCTGATGCGCCAAGACGGCCTTCAAGATGGCTGCAGCTAGTCTGAGGTGATTCGCATTCCGAGAGGCCCACACATACCCATCGGTCGGAAGAAGTAGGTAGAAACATGAAGTAGGAAGGCGTTGGAAATAGATTGGGCTTCCGCACGCCTCCTGAAGAGGAAGGACTGAAAGTAGATTGGAATCTGGGAATCCAAAAATACCTACTTTCAACGACCGATGGGTATGGAACATCCATGCTTTGTGCCTTCTCGCCTCCCCCCCCTCCGGAGGGCCTCGAGACGACCCCAGCGTGGCCCTGGAGCTCGGATGGGGCCGCAGACAGCCCAAGAAGGCCTACAAGAGAGCGTCACGGGAGACGCCCCCAGCGGCACTTGTTCGGCATCCGAGGGGGGCGGCGAGGGGGGGGGGCGAACGAAGGACGCCCCATTTCTGAGCCAGGGGGCACAAGATCGCCCCAAGAGAGCCCCAACCATCTCCCCAAGAGAGCCCCACGAGGGCCCAAGACCCCCGCCAAAGAGCCACAAGAGGGCCCCTTGAGGCCCCAAGGTGACACCCAGAATGCCCAACGAGTCCTCAAAGAGACTCTCACAACAGAAGATCTCCTCCTCCTTCTCCTCCTCCTCATCCTCCCTCCTCCTCCTCCTCCTCCTCTCCTCCTCCTCTCCTCCTCCCCTCCCCTCCCCCCTCCCCCTCCCCCTCCTCCCCTCCTCCTCCTCCCTCCTCCTCCTCCTCCTCCTCCTCCTCCTCCTCTTCGTGGTCCTCCTCCTCCTCCTGCTCCTCCTCCTGCTCCTGCTCCTCCTCCCGCTCCTGCTCCTCCTCCCCTCCTCCTCCTGCTCCTCCTTCCCCCCCTCCTCCTCCTCCTCCTCCTCCTCCTCCTCCTCCTCTCTTCTTCTTCTCTTCTTCTTCTTCTTCCTCTTCCTCCTCCTCCTCCTCCTCCTCCTCCTCCTCCTCCTCCTCCTCCTCCTCCTCCTCCTCTCCTCCTCCTCCTCCTCCTCCTCCTCCTCCTCCTCCTCCTCCTCCTCCTCCTCCTCCTCCTCCTCCTCCTCTACTCTCCCTCTTCCCGTGATGCCGGCCTGAAAGTGTCCGACCCCCCCGCGTACAGTTTTTACACACAGGTTTCCCCAGAATTGGGTTTTCGCCTGCATTTGTCTTAAAAATGCTGCTCTCGCTGAGGCGCCGGCTTCCTTTTCGGGCCCCGCTCGTTCCGAATCGTGCTCCCGCTGCAGCGCTGGCCTCATTTCCGTGCTTCCGCTCGTTCCGAATCGTGCTCCCGCTGCAGCGCTGGCCTCATTTCCGCGCTTCCGCTCGTTTCGACTCGTGCTCCCGCTGGCGCTGGCGTCATTTCCCGTGCCATGCCACGGCATGCAATGCAATGCTAGGTTGATACTACGCTTTGCGGTGCTCTTCTACGCCATGGAATGCCGTGCTCTACAATGCATCGCGTACCCTTTCGGGATCATTGCCCTGCTCGACATCCGACTGTGCGAGTAGAGAGGGGATCTGCGGTAAGGGATGGGAGGATGTCAGATATGACGTGAGCGCACCTAGCTTGTCCCCCTCCCCCTCCTCCTCCTCCTCCTCCTCCTCCTCCTCCTCCTCCTCCTCCTCGTGGTCCTCCTCCTCCTCCTGCTCCTCCTCCTGCTCCTGCTCCTCCTCCCCCTCCTCCTCCTCCCCCTCCTCCTAATCCTCCTCCTCCTCCTCCTCCTCCTCCTCCCCTTCTTCGACCTCCTCATCCAAACAGCTCTCATGGGTATCAGTTCTGGTTGAGCTGGTGGCGATGCGCGAGGCGTCAAGAATTGTCTCCGCCCCAGGGGAAGAAACAAATCAGCACGTGCACCCCCAGAGATTTCTGGATAATCGAATCGCAAGAAGTGGACGTGGTCACACATCGGTCTCCGACTCCGACTGGCCGCGCGACACCAGCGGCTTCCACCACGGCGCCCGCCCCAAGCGTCCGAGCTCTAGACCCCGCGTGCGGGGCGGCCGAAAATCTGAACCGGGCCTGCTTGAGTGGTTTTCTGAAAAACCAACGGCCCTGCGAGGGGCACCGGATCCGTATACCCAAAATCCCTGGGAGCTGGGCGAGGGTCGTGACCGTGGATCTTGTATCCAAGTCTCCCCTGGTGCGTGGCCGTTGTGTCCGCCACCGTGCCCTTGAGGCGCGAGTTGGAGTGCCCTCAGGGCCGCCCCTGAAGACTCGCTCCTCAGTCCTGAAGTTTCTTGAGGGGGCCCGGCCCAAAATTGCCAAATCTCCTGGAGATCCCGGCGTGCCCCCCGGGGTTTGGGGCATCACTTCGCGTGGCGTGTTGGGCCCCGGGAGGGCCCCCCGGGAGGGCCCCCAAACGGGCCAAGAGTGCCCCAATAGGCCCCCAAGACGGCCCGCGAGGGTCCCGACTCGCCGCACGATCGGTCCCAGATGCCCAGGACGGCCCCCCAGACGGCGCAAGGAGCCTTCCAGATATCCCAAGGCAGCAGAGCCCCGAGAGTTTCTCAAAAGGGCCCCGAGAAACAAAAGCCATTGCTGAAAGTACATATGGCACGACAAGTTTGCGGCGCGACAACCCTCGTACCCATCGGCCTCACCTCTTCCTCCACCCGTTCCCTTCCCCCTTCCCCCTTCCCCAACGCATTCCGGCTCCTCCTCCTCGTTTCATTCGACGACTTTGGAGCCCGACCGAACGAGTCGCAGCGAGAAAGGGGGAAAATACGCAAACACGGGAAGATGTCTCACTACCTTCGGCCCCTCATGCCGCAGCGGGGGGCCCCGCTGCCGCCGCCGCATGGTCCCTCTAGGGGCATCGGGGCCGGGGGGGGGACCACCGCGCCCACGAGGGCCGCGAAGAGGCCCTGCCAGCGAAGTCCTCGCCCGCAGCTGCCCACATGTCGTCCTCCGAGATCGCAGAGGGCATCGTTGCAATGGGCAGTTCGGGATTATCCTGACACGCTGGGACCTTGTTGTCGATTCGCTGCTGGATGCCCTCGGCAAGGAGCTGGCTGATGCGCATGGAGTAGTTTCTCGTTGGCCCCGAGCGTGCAACATCGTCCGCGTGATCGGTCCTCCGGAGTAGCTGCTGGCGAGCTCCCCGGCCGTGGTCGCAACGCCGTCCGATTGGGAGCCACTCGACCAGGTGTTTCGCGTAGCCGGCGTTGACGATGAGCAGCCTCGTGGGCTCCATGGTCTCGGCGCCTAACGTGCAGTGGTGGAGTGACGCGTGCTCTGCCTCCTCGTTAGCGTCCCCCGCATTCTCTTCAGGCAGCCGCCAGACGCCAGGTGCTCGCGCACGCCGCGCCCAGACGCCTGCTGGGTGCTCCGCAATGCCCGCGGTGCCCGACGCGGTGCTGATGCGCGCCAGTAGGAGCGTGAGGCGGAGCAGTAAGTTGCCAACCTGCAACGAGGCCCATTCTAGCACGCAAGCATTTTCTGGCCATCGCTCGGACGTCCATTCCCTGTCTTTTTTTCGGTTTCGTGCGTGGTTTCGTCAAGTGATAAAGGATGCTCATCGATGGCCCTCGCCGAGGAAAAAACGCACACGTCCGAGCGATGCCAAGAACGAGGCCCATTCCAGCACGGAAGCATTTTTGAGCCTCCCGGGCGCGCTCGCGCTGCGCACTAGGCGAGGCTGCGCACGGACGCCGCCTTCGAGTCCGTGGACGCGTGCCGCGGGCAGCGCCTCGCATGGTGGCCCAGCGAGCCAGGCCACCAACCTGCCTTGCCATACCGCCGCCCACCTCGCCATCGCTCGGACGTCCATTTCCCGTGCATTTTTCGGTTTCGTGCGTGTTGTTTTTCCTCGATGGTCAAGGATGCTCCTCGATGGTTCTCGCCGAGAGAAACATGCACACGTCCGAGCGATGCCAAAGCCTTGACATACCGCCGCGCACCGGAAGGCTCGCGCCTCGGGGTCGCCAGCGCCCCCCCACCTTCTCGATGTGGATGATGTCGATGCCGAGCGCGTGGACGTTGGCGCGATCCCTTGCCTGCGTTCCTTTTTGACCCCATGCCGGTGAGGCAACCTGAGGAAAATGAGATTCGGCGTCCTGGAGGGATGATAGATTCGTTCCAGAGATGCCGATGTTGGGATGTCCGGATGAATCTTGGATGACCTCCGAGATGATCTGGAGAAGCTTTTCCCTGGAGCTTGTTTGAATGAGTTGGGTAAGCACGGATCGCGACAGCGCTTTTCACAAAATCATGCGCGTTGCTCAAGGCATCCTCGAAAAGCTGCTAATGGCGAACTCAGCGAATCTTCGAACACTTGCGTTTCCCTTCACACATCCTCACGACATGGATAATACATATTACTCATAGTGCTATACATGATTTGACGATCAGAGCGACGATGCGAACTGTGGTGGCGATAAGAAAGCTCGCCCAAAGTTCGCCCTTCGCTCCTGCTTTGGCAACCTGAACCCACGTACATCCCGCGGATAATCAGGTAGAGGGCGTGGACGGGGAGTCGCCTTTAAATCCGCGGCATGCGGCTAGGCACGACTGAGCGTCGCCCGCCCCCCTCCTGCCGCTGAAGAAGTGGACAGCACGGAAGCTCGGGTGACAGATGTCGTGCTGCGGCTGCAGTCCAGCTCAGTGTTGGTGGTCGTGAGCTCCTGTGGTTCTTGCCTCGCCGTCGCTGGAATCAGGAAACTTGCCAGCGCTTGCCTGGTACCAAATATTCCGGCGGAGTATCAGAGTCCTGCGGCTGCCAGCCGTCGCCGAGACAAGTCTCGAACGCGGCGTGCTTCACCGGGGCCATTCCCCTGTGCCTCTGGCATCCCTGCCTCTTGAGCTGTGCCGCCTCTTTCTGCTCCTCCTGCTCGACGGTGGCCATCTCCTCGGCCGCGAGGGGCTGCGTCGCACCCACAGCGGGGTCCAAACGGCTGCTCCTGAGATGCCTTTTCGAGCCGCGCTCCCGCGCCGAAGTGCTGCAAGCAATGAGCGCATGTGGCCCCATCTGCTTCTTCGCTCTGCCGCGTCGCACGTCACGCGGCACGTGGCCGCGCGCACGTTGAGATCCGCTGCCGTGGCGCACTAAGGTCCCGCACTTAGTGGGGCCGTTTTTGCTGCCGGCTCCGTTTTGCCGTTTTTGTTTGCCGGTTCCGACGCCGTTTTTTTAACGGTTCCGTCGCCGTTCTTTTACCGGTTCCCGCTCCTGTTCCAATCCTGGAGCCGTTTTTGCTGCCGTTTCCGATCGACGTTTTTTTGCCGTTTCCATGTTCAAGGGACACTTTTTCGGAAACGGTGAAAAAACGGCCCTGTCGTTTCCGGGGCCCACTAAGGTCCCGCACTCATAGCAGATGTAGCCGAAGTCCTGCTCCTCCTCATGCTCGCCCTCGTTTTTCTTGCCAGCAAAAGCAGTGGCGTCGAGCTCCTCTGCAGTGGCCTTCTGCGGCTTCATGCATGCAGCCTTGGCAACCTTTCGCCGTGCAGCGCGGCGTTGTTGGTCGCCGTGCCAGCATTGATGTCTGCCCTGGACGTGCTCACGCCAACGCAGCCATTTGCATGGCTGCTCTCTCTACAACTGCAGCCAGACATTCCACCTTGTTTCTGCGCCGGGAATGTAGTCGAAGGTGGCGTAGCTGCGAAAACATCGGATGTCCAAGTTAAATCTGGCCAGCCCAGCTTTCGTCGCGATCTGCTGCGAGATCGCAAAGCCCCAAAGAGTTGCGGGCAAACTTCCTCAAAAACCTGATTTTGGCAGCCTCAACCTGAGGTGCGAAAGTAATGCTCGGAAGTCCTCGATGCCCACCTCGGCCTGAACCTGGCCTTTGGCGAAGCGTTTCTCGTCGTAGCTCTCGTTAATTCGCGGTGTTGACGTCCCAGGAATGGTGTTCTGGCAAGATGCAGGACTGTCTAGACTCAACACTAACAATGATTCGCGGCGTTGACGTCCAAGGAACGGCGTTCTGGCACAATTCTGGATTTTCGAGGGGTTGTCGTCCAACGGAGACCTTCCCCCAGGGAAGCCAATCCGTGTATTTGGCCTGTGAGGAGTGAACTTGGAGGGAGAGTTTATTGTAATATCGTTGTCGTCCTCCTCCTTACTCTCCTCCTCCTCCTCCTCCTCCTCCTCCTCGTCCCCAGGGCAGTGCCTATAGGCGCTGCCCGCAAGGCTCCTCTGGCCAGGAAGGCCGCAATGGGGCGTCGGAGGCGGCCGCAGGAGGGAGAAGCGAAGCGGCGAAAGGCGGGAACCTAACCCGATGGGTCATAGTCAATGAGTCCCCATCTGAAGGGGCCCTGGGACACACAAATAAACACACACAAATAAAAATATCTTCCCATATTTTCTGGGTGTTTGTCTTCCCCCCCACTTCCCATATTTTCCCATATTTTCTGGGAAATCGACGATTAATTGTGTCTGTGTGTTTTTTCCCTTCCTGACCATCGTCCTAACGCCTCCCTCCCTTCCCGCGCGCGCGCGCTCCCGCTTCAGATGCACCTTCCTCCCTCACGCTGCCTCACGCTCCTGCGCGGGCCTGAAATCGGCAATCCGAGAAATCCGCGCGGACCTCGGAAAGTTCAGGTTTATGCGATTCTGTCTCGTTCGACCTAACCACCCTCGGGCTCGTCCCCATCCAAGGGATCGACGTGAGGCGTCGTCAATCACAAGGATAGGCATGTGTTTCAGGCTGGTCACCATTAGGGAACAGCTCCCGAGAGGTCTTCGAGCTATTGAGCTAGATTCCGGGGGGCACTTGGCCAGATTCGCCCAAACTGAGCTGGGCTTGACGAGAGCTGAGCAGGACTCAGCGGGGTTGGGCGGAATTGGACCAGTTTTTGAGTACGGCTGTGTCGTCGCCGACGCGGAACGGAACCTCCCAAGGATTGCAGACTACCGATATCGGGCGACGAGATCTATACATATCCACTGCTCCCTGGCCAGGCCCATCCTGAACCCAGGAGCTGTGTATACGCCCTCCTGGCCAAGCCAGGAGGGCCTCGCGTATACACCGCTGCCGGGCTCACGATGGGCCTGGCCAGGGAGCAGTGGATATGTATAGACTTCGTCGCCCTACGATAGGAGAAAAACACTGCACACACACAGAACCTTCCGCATGGCCGTGCGGACTTCTTGCATCGGCGCCAGACCCCGTCCCCGGCGCACGATGCGCGCCGAGGGCGGGCGCTGGAGGCGCCGCGAGGAGCGCCCGGCCCACGTCCAGAAGAGGCATCCACACAGAACTCCGAAGATGTGCTCCGATTTTTGCTGCTGGTCCCTCTTCGATATTAAAGGGGCCCTGGGACACACAAATGAATACACACAAATAACAGGATTCCCCATATTTTTCCAGATTTCCTGGGTGTTCGTCTTCCCCCCCACTTCCCGTAGTTTCCCATATTTTCTTGGGGATCGACGATTAGTTGTGTCTGTGTTTTTTTTCCCCTCCTGAGATATCCGGCTGGCCACTCCCGACGGGGCAGAGCGAAGGGGCGACAACATCGGAAGCGCGCGGCGGCGCGGAGCGGCCTTTTCTGCCGGGGCGGCGAGTCACAGGAAGGCATGGCCTCCACACGCCGCGGGCCTCCGTCGGCGGCCCAGGAAGGCGAGGCCGGTCAGCAGCGGGCCCATGCCAGCCTGGCAGGGGAAGGATGAAGGGGCCCCAGGACACACAAATAAATACACACAAATCGAAATATCCCCCATATTTTCCAATATTTTCTGATTTTTGTCTTCCCCCCACTTCCCATATTTTCCCATGTTTTTTTCTGGGGGATCGACGATTAATTGTGTCTGTGTGTTTTTCCCTCCTGGAAGGATCGCCCGTGAGACGCGGCCTCGGGCCCGGGTGGGCCTGTACGGAGGGGAGCGGAGCGGACACCTCCAAAGAATCGTGGGCTCCGTGTCTTGCCGAGGCTGGACTGATCGGTTCACCTCTGCGCCTTCGCTCTTCGTACGCCACCGTTCCCCCGAACACGTTGGGGCGTGGAAGAATGCCAAGGTCTGTCTGGTAGGGTTTGTGAATTCTTCTACCCATCGGTCGGAAGAAGTAGGTAGAAACATGAAGTAGGAAGGCGTTGAAAACCGATTGGGTTCCGTCCGCCCCCTTGGGAGGGCTGAAAAGGTGAGACCACTCGATCATGGAAGTAAGAAGGAGCTTGAAGTACACTGGAAGCTGGGAATCCAAGAGTACCCACTCTCGACGACCGATGGCTGAGGTGGTGGATACCACGACAGTGGACACTCTCACAATCCGATCATTGAAGTCAAGGTGTGCTTAGCATGTGTGAAACATGCTCTACACGTGTCTCACACATGATTTTTACACATTCAAAAAATCTTTGAAGCATCGTTTGGCCACCTGGAGATTCTTCGGCAGCATGCTTCCTCACTCTCGACGACCGCTGGCCGAGAGGCCGGGCCGCCCCGCCCTCTCCCCCGCGGACCCCCGCGTGCCTCCCACCCCTCGCCATCGCTCGGACGTCCATCCTCTGTGCTTTTGCTTCGGTTTCGTGCGTGGCTCTTTCGTCCAATGATCAAGGCTGCTCCTCGATGTTTCTCGCCGAAAAAAAAGGCACACGTCCGAGCGATGCCAAGCCCACCCCTGCTCACCGAGCCCACTTCCCCCCCTTCCCCGCCCGAGGCCTGCGCCCTTCCGGCGCGGCAGGCCACGCCGAAATGCTCCCTTCCGCGCGTGCCGGGATCGGGCACTGCCCGCGCGGTGCCTGCTGCCGGAACACCCCCTCCACGCGTGCTCGCTCGAGGACGGTGCACTGCCCGTATGGCAGCGGATTTCTGAAGGCTGTGCCCACGCGCGCCCACTCAAAGATGGTGCACTTCTCGCACTGCAGCCAATGTTGGAAACTCGTTATTTCCCACGAGTGCCCCCTCGAGGATGATGAACTTCCCGCATGGCAGCTGATGCCCGAACCCTCATTCCATGCGTGCCCGCATGAGGATGGTGCACTTCCCGAGTGGCAGCTACTACCAAATCCCCTTTCCGCGCGTGCCCCGACGAAGACGGCGCACTTCCCGCGCGGCAGCTGATGCCTGAAGCCTCTGACCACGCGTGCCCGCTCGAGGATGGTACACTGCCCGCATGGCAGCTAACGCCTGAAACTTCATTCCATGCGCGCCCGCTTGAGGATTGCGCACTTCCCGCATGGCTGCGGCCTCCTAGACCCTCATCCCGCGCGCACCCGCTCGATGATCATGAAAGCCCCGCATTCCCAGGTGCTGCTCCCAGGCGCCCAAGGGGCGTCCGAAGCACCGACCTTCGTAAATTACTCGACGAGGATATCCCCATATGTGCATATCATACTTTTACCAAGCGTCGCTGAAGAAGTCTGTCTATGAGAACCTGGGCGTGAGAGCGAGCCCGCGTAGACGACAGGCGAGGCAACGACGACGGCGTCAGCGACAACCTCAGAGACGGCCTCTTCCTCTGTAGCGATACTACGCCAGCTTTCTGGCGTGTTACTCGCGGCGCCTACTGTTACTTGTGGTACCCAAGTGCCACGCTGGCTATATTGCTGTAGCCACGTGTGTGAGTGCGGGTGAATATGAGCGTGGGCGATCTGAGTGTGAGTGAGTCTGGGTATGATTAAGCCTGAATTTGAGTGTGTCTGGATACAGTCAGTCTGAGCACGGGTGGGACTGAGCATGAGTGAGCATGAATGCGAAAGGGTCTCAATGAGAGTGGGTCCGAGTGTGATTGAGTCTGAGTGTGGGCGAGTCTCAGTTTGAGTGTGATGCCTTGAGCCCGGGTGCCTGCTTCTGATGAGTCTGAGGGTGAATGCGTCTGAGTGTGAGTGAGTTTGAATGTGACTTGGTCTGGGTGTGAGTGAAACAGAGTCACAGTACGGTGAGTCTGAAAAATCAACGAATAAGTCTGAATGAATATGAGTATGATTTGATGCGAACATACATATATATAATGTTTTGATGAGTGAGTCTGAATGTGATGAGTAAGTCTGACCGGAACGAAGTGCTGATGAACAAGTCCGAGGGCGAATGCATGCGTCTGCGTGGGGGAAGGAGGGGAGTGAGTGAGTGAGGAGCAGACGCATCCAAAGAGAAGCCAGCCGAGCAGAAGCTGGCAATACGCTTGAGGCATCCCCACAAACTTGGCGCGAATCCTGAGGTGTCCCGACCCCTGGCGGCTCACTTTGGGCGCCCAAATGCCACGCCTGCCATGTCGCGGTGCGCATTGCACCAGAAAAATCAAAGAAGTCTGGGGGGGCAGAAACAATTTTTGATCCGCGGGTCGAGAGCGCACCTCTTCCGGTCGAAGCTAAGCGGGCCCCGCACAGCTTGAATTAACAAAGAGGGAGGGAGGCAGAAGGAGGGGCCTCACGTCAAGGCCAAGAGAGGGCAAAGCCCCGGGATCAGGCGGTGCCGAGGACGATGTGCTTGCAAAGGAACGCCTTGGACAGGAACCCTGCGGCGAAGTACCGGAAGAAGCAAAATGCTGTGGTGGGGGGGGGCAGGAACAAGCAAGCCGCTTGAGACATCCCCACAGTCTGGCCGCGAAGCCTGACGTGCGCTGCGTTCGCCCTTGGCGGCTCCCCCTTTTGGGGTGCCCAGGTGCCACGCCTGTGGTCTGTCGCGGGGAGCGTAGAACCACCCCAAGAGAGAGAAGCCTGGAGGGCAGAAACAGGCAAAACGCTTAAGACATCCAACAATATGGGCACGAAGGGATGCCAAAGTGCCACGCCTGCTATATCGCGGTGAGCAGTGAACCAACAACCTCAGGGAATCTGAATGAGGAAGGGTGTGTCGGAAGGGTAGGGTCTGAGCGTGCATGAATGAAAATGCGTCTGAAGCTGATTCCCGGAATGGGTCTGAATGAGTCTGAGTCTGAGTGGAGCCGGGTGCGGAGAAGATTTGGCTGAGTCTGCGAAAGGAAAAAAATGCGATGGAACCCGTGAAGAAGAGTGTGATGAAGCCCGTGATGGGCGTGGGTAATCTGAATAGGACTACCCGAGTTATGTGAGAGTGAAAGACGAGAAGGAGAAGGAGGAATGAGCCCTGGAGGCGCCTGCGTAATCTGCCGACCCCCGCTTGCCGCGAGTGCAAAGGCGTGTGGGATGATTGGCTATCTCCCTCCCCCTTTCCCCCTCCCCTGGTGTCTGGAATCCGATTAGAGTGGGGGGGAAGGGGGAAGGGGGGAAGCGGGTGAAGGGCTCTCCGCAACGCTCCCCCGAGGCCTCCAGAGCCTCCGTTTCCACACTGCGGCCTCCAGATGCCTTCGAACCGATCCGCCTGCTCAAGCAGCAGGCCTCTCACACGCACAGGACGTCCTCGAAAACGACCAAGATAGCCTCTAGACTGCCGAAGAGGATCATGAGACGCCCCAAGAGGGCTCCAAGACGACCCCCGAGAGGGCACCCAGAAGCAAAAATCGTCAAAATCCATTGGAGAGCGCATCATTTGGACATCTTCGTTTGTTTGGTCTCAGCAGCGTCCAACACGGCTCAAGAGGCCTCCATCATCGATCCGAGACGGCCCAGTAAGTCTCCATGAGGGCCCCTAGACGGCCGAAGAGGGCCCCAAGGCGGCCCAAGAGGCACCCAAGATGGCCCAAGAGGGCCCCCAAAGGGCCCCGAGAGGGACCCAAGAGAGGATGCCCGAACTGGTATGCCGAGCGCCCCGCCCCAAGAGGACCCCCGAGACCACCAGCAGGCGCCCAGTAAACTCCCAAGAGGCCCGAAGAGGCCCCAAAGAGGCCCAAAAGAGGCCGCTGGAGGGTCCGCAAGAGGGCCAAGCGGCCGCACGCCTTCACTTCATCCCTCTTCTGGGGGCTAGCGGAATGGCGTAAGCACCTGGGATAGCAAGAACCCGAACTTGTAACTGCGGATATGGGGAAACTACGTAGTACCCCGCAGTTGCAGATAAGAGTGGGGGGGGGCGGCGAGGATGTCGTCAATCTGCGAGGCTCTGAAGAAGCCCGCCGCAGGCGCCTAACTTTTACAACTTATGCAGTGAGCCCGCCGCAGGCGCCGATTTCCTTGTTAAAGCGGGGTGGGTCGCGGGGTGGCTCGCGGGTGGCTCGCGGGGTGTGTCGCGGGGTGTGTCGCGGGGTGTGTCGCGGGGTGGGTCGCGGGGTGGGTCGCGGGTGGGTCGCGGGCGGGTCGGGGGGGGGAGACGACGACGACGACGACGACGACAACAACAACAACAATCATTTTACCCTCATGCGCGATGTTCCCACACGAAGCATGCGACCACCATGATAACCATCCCCATCATGGAGAATACTTGTTCTATAACAGGGTCCGTGATTCCCATTCCCAGATCTCCCGCCCAATGAGGTCTTGCAAAAACCTCCTCCGAGGAATTTCAACAGATCCCGCCTCGAAAACGCATGCCCACGCCTTGCAACGCCGATGCGAGACCGCCAGTGGAGCCCCAGCCAAGGGTGAAGCACAAGGAAGTATCGAGCGACAGGATTGCCTTGATCGGGATGGGGGCTGTCGGCGGCGAGGCAAGGACCTGGCCATGAATAGAAAGAGGAAGTCTCGAGCAGGGCCGCTGTTGCTTCTGGGAGCGGGGCCAATGCTGAAGAGACTAGGGCACCAGTCCAGCGTAAAACAAAACGATGTCTCGAGCGGGAAAGCTGGTTTTGTTGGGACGGCGGTTGTGGCGGTGAGGAGGAACACCGCCTCGAGTAAGAAGGGAAAAAGTCTCGAGTGGGAACCGTGGTTTTGTCGGGACGGGGGCTGTCGGCGGCGAGGAACACCACCGTCCTGAAGAAAAAAAGAGGACGTCTCGAGCGGGAGCGTTGTTGTTGCTCGGGGGCGTCGCCAATTCAAAAGAGAGCACCCAGCGTAAAACGGGAGGAAGTCTCGGGCAGGAGCGCTGGTTTTGTCGGGACGGCGCCTGTCGACGGCGAGCAAGAGCACCGCCTTGAGTAAAAAAGTGAAGACGTCTCGAGCGGGGGCGTTGTTGTTGCTGGGGGGCGGCGCCGATGAGAGAAAGAGTAGCGCGCCTGTCCAAGGTAAAACGGGAGGACGTCTCGAGCGGGAGCGCTGGTTTTGTTGAGACGGCTGCTTTCGGCGGCGAGCAAGAGCACCGGCCCTGAGTGAAAAAGGAGGAGATCTCGAACGGGAGCGGTGTTGTTGTCGGGGGGGCAGTTTTGGCGGTCCCCCAAACCGCTCCGGCGTGAGCCTCAGTTTCAATGAAAATGCAGCCGGCGCCTCGGCGAGAGCGCCAGGGCGCCTGTAAGGGGTCCAACAATAAGAATTGTTTAGTCATTGACATTCAACAAGCAGAATCCTCCCCGCGGGGCCCAACTTCAGCCACGGACCCGGGAACAAAGGACGAGCGTTCGGCCCCCTCACTCTGATGTACCTGCGTCCCGAGCTTCCAAGACGGCCCGTGAAGGCAACCAAGGACGCCAATATGACCCAAGATGCCTCCAAGACGGTCCAAGATAGCCACAAGGCGGCCAAATATTGCTCCAAGACGGCCCAAGATATCGCTAAGGGGGCCCCAAAGAACCTCCAACAGGATTCGAAGAATCCAACATTATTGATTTGACGTCGGTTGTTTTCGGGCTGCCGTCAGCTCAAGACGGCCCACGAGGACTCCACGATGGCCTCTCGTGAGACCCAAGGCGGCCTTAAAGGCCTTTGGACGGCCCAAGACGGCGCCAACACGACCCAAGAGAACCCCAAGCTGGCGTAAGAGGGCCTCAAGACGGCCCCTAAGGGCTCCAAGGCACCCCCAAGACTTCCTCACATGAGGCCAAGGCAGCCCCAAGACGGCCCACACGAGTCTCAGCATCATCAGCACTATCAGCACTATCAGCATCAGCATCATCATCATCATCATCATCATCATCATCATCATCATCATCGTCATCGTCATCGTCATCGTCATCGACATCATCATCATCAGCAGCATCATCATCAGCATCAGCATCATCACCACCACCAGCATCATCATCAGCATCAGCATCACCAGCATCATCAACAGCATCAACATCAGCATCACCATCGGCATCATCATCAGCATCAGAAGCATCAGCATCAGCGGCTGCAGTATCAGCACCAGCACCAGCACAATTATAACCATCATTAGCACCAGCACCAGCATCATCACCATCATCATATTCGCCATCACCATGACAACCACCACCATCATCACCATCGGCATCATCATCACTGGCACCACCACCATCACCATCATCATCATCAACACCACCATCATCATCATCAGCATCATCAACATCATCATCAGCATCATCATCGCCGTAGTCGTCATCATCGCCGTAGTCGCCATCTTCATCAGCATCATCATCAGCGTCAGCATCATCATCCTCGTCATCATCATCGCCATAGTCATCATCACCATCATCATCATCACCATCACCATCATCATCGTCACCGTCATCGTCATCATCAAGATCGGCATCATCAACAAGATCACCATCACCTTCACCATTATCGCGGCGCTACCACGCGTGGATATACGAGGTGTCATACGTGACGGCCTCCCGTGCCCCCTCCCCCCTCCGGGCGGTCCCGGCCCAGGGTGCTAGGCTGGCACGGTGGCGGGACTTTCCGCCGACAGCTGGATCACGGTTCAACACGACCGCTCATTCTCTATAGAAACTCGTGCGATCCCAAACAATCCCAACAAATATTCCCCCCACGACATCTTACCAATTCAGCTACAGCCGACACGTATCATACGGATGCGCAGTAAGGATGCAAGGGCCTTGGAGGCCCATGTGCACGTTTTTCAAACGTTGGTGACCAGCGAAAGTCGCTAAGGCTGAGCCGAAGGGAGACGGATGCACGGGTGCCATTGAGAAGGTTGCCCATCCTTACTATGCGGGTTGACTTACATGTGCAACGCACCGTGCCACAACAATCCATGCGGGCCACATGGGCGCGCGCCGAACTCGTAGCAATCAATACGTAAATACATTTCATTGTGCCGAATGAGATAGTGAGGGCCACACGCGCGCGCATTTCGAGGTCAGCAGGAAGAATGATCGCGTCCCCGCCAACTCTGCAAGAAACTACCATGCGGTCACACGCGAACGACCTTAATCACCGCCAGCGTCATCACTACCACGGTCAGCATCATCATCACCACAATCGCCGTTGTCATCATCACCAACGTCGACATGATAATCATCGTTATCATCGTTGTCGTCACACTCGTCATCGTCGCCACCACCATTACTATCATCACCGTCGTCGTCGTGACCATCATCACTCGCCTGCCCGAATAATGGATCCACGTTGCAAGTTGCCTCGCGCAATTGCGCCAATGGAATTTTGCCGAGAAGTTGCGGGAAGCTGTGTGGGATGCTTGCTGGAACCTTGGAATTGCCGGCTTCACGGAATCCAAGGATTCATCGCACCACATATACACCACGTGGCTTACACATGCACAGTTCGCGATTTCACTGTTCGGGGCCCACGCTGGTAAACATCCAGAGGTGCTGCAATAATCGCTATGCTGTGGTGATGAAGAATGTTTGCCAGCTTAGATAGCACAGTCTCTGGTAGCCTGTCCACAACCGCAGACGAGAACGCTGCTGCTTATGTGGATGTTACGGCCCCTTGGGATCTGGTGTGCTGGATGATGACAGCCTGGATCGCGGCGTGTGTGTGTGTGTGTGCGCGTATGCAAGTGTGTGTATATATTTTTGCACGCGTGCGCACGCACGCGTACGCGCGCGCGCGGGTGTGTTTGTGTGTGTGTGCGCGCGCGTGCGTGGGTGCGTGTGTGTATGTGTGTGTGTGTGTCTGTGTGTGTGTCGCGCGCGCGCGTGTGTGTGTGTGTGTTGTGTTGTGTGTGTGTTGTGTGTGCGTGCGTGCGTGCGTGCGTGCGTGCGTGGGTGTGTGTGTGTGTGTGTTGTGTGTTGTGTGTTGTGTATGTGTGTGTTGTGTGTTGTGTGTGTTGTGTGTGTGTGCGCGTGCGGGGGGTAGTGGTTTAAAAATGGGTAAATTTACGCAGATCGTAGCCCGCCTTCGTACCAGTATGTCCGCCGACCACATCCCGTCGGCGTACCGGAGGGAGAAGCGTGTGTGTGTAGGGTTATCGGCCTGGCCTTGCTTAGTATGGGCCGGAAAGTCATCCGTTCCCCCCGCAGCACTTCCCGGCTCCCGGATCGGCGCGAACTTCAACGACAGCTCCTTGACGGGTGCCCAGAGCTCCGTGCAGAGGCTTCCCAGATGGGGTCGGAGGATCGCGCCACATGGCCGATGCATCGGCGATGCATCGGCGACGTCGACGAGAAATCGGGATCCACATCGAGCCACATCGGCGATGCATCGGCGATGCGGCGCGATCCTCCGACCCCATCTACTCCGACCCCATCGAGGAGGCCTAGACTATTGGAACCGACCGTCACACGACCCATGCCATCTCGTCTGGGCGGCGATTCACGGGGCGACGAGGCGCTTGCCGATCCCCTGCCCGTTTCGTGTGCTCCACACCTGCGGGTGCGCGGCTCCTCCCCTGTGGGAAGCTGGGGATGGTCTGTCTGTATCAGGAGAGCACCGCTTCACTTGGACTCCAGGACTCCAAGACGCCTCCCTCTGCCCTTCTGGTCCTCCTGCCTCGTCATGCAGTCCTCGGCCTGCCCCCTGATCATGCTCACCCCCTCCCACTGCTAAGCGAGCGAAGAACGGTATAAAATAAACTTTCCGCCGTCGGGGGCACCTGCCCCTGGGCGGCTAAAAAGTGTATACCCCATACGGTGCCGCCGTAAGGGTATAAACTTTCCAGCCTCCCTGGGGCAGGTGTCCCCGACGGCGAAGAAGTTTATCTTATACCGTTCTTCGCCCGTTGAACTGCTCCTCGCCCTCCCCCTCCTGCCCGCCCCCCTCGCCCTGCTGCCCTCCCAGACATCCTATGCGATCTGACGTGCTCGGTGCGCGGCCCCCCAACGGCCCCGACCACTCTCCCAGGGGCTGGCCCGTCGCCCCGGCTTCCTTCTGCGCTGCCCCAAGCGCCCGAGAACGAGCCCCAGGAGGCGAGAAGCCAAGGAAAAAAAAACGCCGAGGGTGCAAAAATCACTGCCTCCTCCCCCCCACTCCGTTGCTCCCCCCGCTGCTCTGACTACCTACCAGGCCACCCCAACCCAACCCGAAGACCCGAATTTCGGGTTGGGGGGGGGGGTAAGGGTTCCACATGTGTTTCTGTCCATGTTCCCCGACACCCCCCCCCCCTGGAAATCGAGGGCAAATCTGAGCCTTCGGGTTGGGTTGGGGTGGTCTGGTGGGTGGTGATGCTCCTCTTGGTGGCCCCCCAAGATCTGCGCCTTGAAGATGGCCGCCTCCCCGCTGCAGGGCCAGGCCACCTGGCAGACCTGGGCGCGGGCAGGCGCGGATGGGCAGAGCGGGCAGACGGGTCGCTGAGTTCCCCCCCCTCATTCTCCTTCTTGTCGCCCTCCTTCTAATTTGAGGGGGCCCTGGGACACACAAGTAAAAAGAAACAAATAACAGGATCTCCCATATTTTCCTATATTTTCTGGGTTCTTGTCTTCCCCCCCGCTTCCCACATGTTCCCATATTTCCCTGGGAGTCGACGATTAATTGTGTCTGTGTGTTTCTTTCCCTCCTCCTCATTCTCGGGCACCCGCGAAGACAGAGTGCGCATCTGTGGATCTGGCCCGCGGGCGCCAAATCCGCGGACGGGGGAGAGTGCCCCCGAAAGATGCTGCCGGCGCCGTCTCGCTTGGCGACGGAAGGCGTCGCTCCTGCCTGGGACCCGTCGCTGATCCGCGCGTCTCAATGCACGTCTGCGCGTCATAGGCATCACTGCTCCTCCAACAGATGGTGGCACCCGAACCGTAACCCCCCAACTATCGCTACCCTCCGCCGTCCATTGAGTAGTCTGAACCGTTGATCCGCCAGGGTAGGGTTCAGATTTCGCCGCCGATTACAGTCAAAGAGTATCATAAGGATGCGCAGTAGTAAGGATGCAAGGGCCTCGGGAGGCCACGTCGACAATGTTCGAGCGGGGCGCGGCCAGCGAACGTCGCCAAGGATGGGCCGAAAGGGCAAATATGACTTGTAATCTTGAACAAATCCTGATCCTTACTATTCGGGGATGGACAGACCCCCCTTTAGCAAAACGTGGTTTAGTGAAAACGACCTGAGGCCCAAACCTGGCGGGCGCAAGCCTGGAAAACAACGGCCACGGCGCCCTCTCGAGAACCGAAAACGGACAATTCACTAATCGACGTGTCACTGTTGGGGGTTCTGTCCACCCCCGAACTATGCGCTTTCACCGTAAGCAAATGCCTGCGCCTCCTCGACCTCCCTGCTCCTCCGGTGTCGCAGAGCCTCCTCTCCCTGCTCGGCCTCCCCCTCGCTCCCCATGCACGCCCTCCTCGCTCCTTTCGCCCAGCCACTGCCCTGGTCCTCCCTCTCGTCATCTCGTCTTGCCCGTCCTTCGAGAGTTGAGTTATCCCAGATTTGACATGTTCGAATCTTCGAAACAAACACGTGGAATACTCCGCAGGTCTACGGAACATTCTACGTTGTGTGCTTGTTCACTCGACGAACAACGCAAGTTTGGGGCAAATCGACTATGTAGTCGATCTCCTGTTCGAGCCCTAGCATGCCTCTACAACGCTGCAGTGGTTGTAGCCTCGGACTCGCGGAAGCATACAATCGAAACCGATGGCGAAAGTGCGAAACCTTCCTAAGAGTACCCTTGCATCCGTGCCTCTTGGGTCCATCCTTGACTACTTTCGATGGCCCGCCGCGCTCGAAAACGTTTCAACACGGGCGTCCTAGGGGCTTGTATCCTTATCGTGCATCCTTACATACTATCAACTCTGGCTGTATCAAGCGACCTGGCGCAAGGAAAACGCGCGCAAATCCGCTCGCGGAAGTCCAATGCTCCGAGAATGCGGTCTGACGGCGGCGCCAGCCGCCAGGTCGGTGCTGCTGCGAAAGATGGGCACACACCGGTCGGGCAATACTCATCAGTGGGATCAGGAGGCCATGCTAAGATCGGAGAGGGCCATCCACTTAGGAACGCCTGGAGTGTGCAGCGCAATAGCTGCATGTGGCCTCGTCACGGCAGTCATCCAGCACAGGTGCCTGGCCATGTTCTCCTCGTCGTTCTCGCCCTTGGTCGCCTCCCTCTACCCAACCTCCCCTTCCCTCTTCTTCCTGTGTTCCTCCTCGGCGACGTCCCTCTCGCCTTCGCCGTCGTCGTTCGCTCCTCTTCCTCTTCCTCATCTTCCTAAATCCTCTCCTTGCTGTTGTACTCCCCACGTTCCCACTCCTCTTCTCCTCCTCCGCCATCTCCCCTTCACCTCCGCACTTGGTGCCCCTACGATATATCTACTCATCTCCACCCGTCCCGCTTGGTGGCCCCGTGGCCCCCCGAGCGGCCTTCTCGAAGGACTGCTTCATCTCCGGTGTCCAGCGGTGCGGGTCGAACTGGGCGCAGCCAGATATCTCGGCGACGCCAGGTGGAGGAGGAGGAGGACGAAAATTGACGGGAAGAGGGAATCCAAACCTCCGACACGGTCCAGGGGGCGGTTCTAGGCCCAAACATGATTTTTCTACGAAAAGAGCGGCCCCGGGGAATGAGTGAGGAGATTCGGGCCCGTGTCGGAAAAAAAAGGAACGACGCCGGGATTCGAGGAAGGGAGGTTGAGGAAGGGCCGATCAGCCCAAACTGAGGAAGATGCGATCGTGACAACCTCTCCTTCAGGTCGGGCATGTCCTTCTCCAGGGTGGCTCTGGGAGAAAAGCAATACGTAGCCAAACAGAACTCAAACAGACTCAAGAGTGGTAGAGAGAGATCGCCCCCATCTTCTGTCTGACTATTTCTGCTTGAATCTGCCTCTTGAAATGAGGACGTGCCCGACGTAGCCTCGGCTCCCGCTCCCCGACGGCACGGGGCGTGGGCCCGATGCACGGCGCCGCTTCGCCGACGTGCCGGGCGCGCGCGCGCGCTGGCACTTGCCGGCCCTGCGGTGTTGGGGCTCCGGGGCCGGCCTCCGCGAGGGCTTCTTGCGAGATAGGGGATCGACTGCAGAAGTGACTTACCCCGAACTTGATTTCCGCGTCGGATTTGCGAAACAGATGCGTAGGGTGTTCGAAGATGCACGGAACACTCTGCGTATCTTCGTAGTCTCGACCAACAAATCAAGTTTGGGGTAAATCAATACCCATCGGTCGGAAGAGAAATAGAGTGGGTTTCCGCCCTGATCCTGAAGAGGAAGGAAGAGGGAAACCCACTCGACTCTTGAAGCAGGAAGGCGCTGAAAGCAGGCATCTGGGCATCCAAAAACACCTGCTTCCAACGACCGATGTGTATTGTAGTCGATCCCCCCCTCGATTGTTACTCGTCCGCATCGTCGTGGCAGGTGGACGTCAGGGTGGACGCCGCGGCGCGAAGCCTGGCGCGCGAGCGCGTCGCGCGGCGTCGCGCCGCCGCCCGCGCCTCGCGGGAGGTCGCGCTGCCGCGCCGGCCCCGCCCACCGCTCCCGAGGGGCCGGTGTTCCGCCACCACTGCCATGGGCAGGAGAGGGAGGAGGAGGAGGAGGGAGGAGGAGGGGGAGGGAGGAGGCGGAGGAGGGGGAGGAGGAGGAGGGGGAGGAGGAGGAGGAGGAGGAGGAGGAGGAGGAGGAGGAGGAGGAGGAGGGGGAGGGGGAGGAGGAGGAGCTCCCCCATCGTCCCTTCGCCCCTCCGTCCTGCCTGCGGTCGTAGCGGTGGTGGAAGATCGGCCCCATCAACTCCCCCGCCGAGCCCCAGGGAGCCGCCGAGATTGAGCAGGCACCGACCGTCCCGGCATTCCTATGGTCCTACCGCGAAATGTTCTTAGAACCCAAAAATGTTCTAAGAACAAAAACAATGTTCTTAGAATATAAACCCGATGCGATAAAACAAGACACACTTCTGGCAGAAATGTTCTGAAAACATTTCGTGGAAGCCACAGAAAGGTTCTTAGAACAGTGCTTGGTAGGGCTACAGGCACGCGGGGACGCTTCGCCACTGCTCGACGAGAGGGGCCCCGCTGGCCATCGCTCGGACGTCCATTCCCTGTGTCTTTTTGCTCGGTCTCGTGCGTGTTTTTTTCGCCAAACGATCAAGGATGCTCCTCGATGGTCCTCGCCGAAGGAAAAACGCACACGTCCGAGCGATGCCAACCCAGCGGCCCTCCTCGCGGACCGCGCCCGTGGCGGGGGGGGCTCGAGGCGGCGCGGCCGCGGTGCCCCCAAGAGGGCCCCGCCCGCTCTCGCCCCGGCAGGGGGGCTCCGCAGGAGGCGCCGGGCGGCGGGGGCACGAGCGGCTTCTGGGAGGAAAACGAGCAATACAAAAAACACAAATCATCAAAATATAAAAATACATCAAACATAGAAATCGTCATACAAAGGAAAACGAACAATGATCCAATCCAAACTAGTCATCACATCGTCCCCCGACTATGATCTGACGGTTTTCGAGTATTCCTCGTGTACAAGAGGGACACGCCCGACGCAAGGCTTGCGAGCTCCCGGCGGTCGCCTGGACGAGCCTGAGACAAACCTCGCCACGGCGCGGCGTGGCCAGGGCCGCCAGGATGGACCCGATGCCGCCGAGCTGCTCGCAGCCACGGTGCTGCCCCAAACATGCTGCTAAGAGGCGTGGTGTGCGGTGCACTGCTCGCACTGCTCGTCTCACTTTGGGGATCTCTGCTGACCCGGGTCAGTCAGAGCCGGGTCAGCAAGGAACCAAAACACTGCAATGCAGGAACAAAACAAACTGCAACGCAGGGCTTCGCAGACCCGGGTCAGCAAATATGCGCGGCCGCCTCGCGGCTCGCTAAACCGGGTCAGCAAGAGAGGGTCTTCGCAAGATCCGGTGTCCTGGCTGACCCCCGTTTGCATTGACCGCCGTCTCTTAAACTCCGATCACTCACCAAGCTGCTGGTGCTGAGTCCCGCCCTGCTGCTCGGTGTCGTGAAGCTCAAGTGCTGCTCGACTCCGTCGCGCCGCTCAGTGTCGAAGTGGTGGTCCTGGACGTGCCGCTCGAAGACGTGGCGCTCGCAGCAGTGTGCGTCTCACTCGCAGATGTGAGTCAGCTGGCATTGGATCCCGTCGTGCAGCTCAACACGATGGCGCTCGACTCCAACACGCTGCTCAGAATCGGCATGCTGGACCCCTACGTGCTGCTCAAAGACAATGTGCTCGTTGCGCTACTCGTCTCGCTCGTGGCCGTCAGGCTGCTGGTGCTGGGCCCCGTCGCACTGCTCAACGTCGCGGTGCTCAGGTCGCCGACGCTGCTCAGTGCCCCTTGGTGTTAGTCCCAAACGTGCCGCTCACAGGCGTGGTATTCATTGCACTGCTCGCCTCACTCGTAGATGTGAGGCTGCTGGAGCTGGGTCCCGCCGTGGTGCGAAACGTAGTGATGCTCCATCCCGTCGCTCTGCTCAGCGTCGGGGTGCCGGCCCATGACTTGCTGCTCAAACACGTGATGCTTGCTGCACTGCTCGTCTCACGCGTCGATATGAAACTTTTGTTGCTGGATCCCGTCGTACTGCTCAACGTCGCGGCGCTCAACCCTGTCGCGTTGCTACGTCGAGGTGGTGGCCACAGACGTGGTGCTGAACGACGTGGCGTTCGACGCTCTACTCGCCTCACTCGTAGATGTGAGGCTGTTGGTGCTGGATACCGTCGTGCTGTCACCATGGTCCCGGACGTGCTGCTCGAAAGCGTGATGCTCGCTGCACTGCTCATCCCACTCGCAGATGTGAAGTTGCTGGTGCTGGATCCCTTCTTGATGCACACCGCCGTGATCCTTGGTCCCGTCGTGCTGCTCAGTGTCGAGGTGCAGGTCACTGACATGCGGCCGAAAGACGTGTTACTCGCTGCGCTGCTCGTCTCACACGTAGATGTGCGGCTATAAGAGAAAAAAGAGAGAGAGAGAGAGAAGAAGGAGACAGAGAGTGAGAGAGAGGGAGAAACAATCAAAAGAGTGGGAAGGGGGGGGCGGAGAGAGAGAATGATGAGGGAAAGAGGAGGAGGAGGAGGAGGCAGAGGAGGACCGAGAGAGCAGAGAGGGCCGTGGTGGACAAAGAGACGGAGGAGGGGGCGCCCGCCAGTGACCGGCAAGGTGGCTCCGTGGAGCAATCCTCAGTCCACCCGCTGCCGACCCCCCTTGCCAACTGGGCGACGACAAGAGACAACTCTTACGCAGAATGGCATGGCGACCTCAAGCCGCGGCTCACATGGGCACACCGCGTGGAGGAGCGGGTGCTCACGCGCGGCCTTACACCTCATCACCTGGGAAAACTTGCGCTGGAATGCCAGCGCAGTCGACCCCGTTTGCCTCCGTCGCTGACCTGGAGAAGTCTTGAACTGAGGAGGGCATGGAGGATAACGAGGGCGAGGGCCGCTTTCAGGGGCTCCAGGGGGGCGGAGCGTCAGACTCCCGCGGAGGGGATGACATAGCCTCGCAGGGGGTTCTCGGAGGACGAGGATGGGCAGGGAGGGGTCCAGGGGCCTGCAGTTTGTTCGTAAGGCTGCTTGACCTTATCATAAGTACGGTCCCCCCCAAACTCGCCAACGCACTCCGGGGGCCCTCGGACAGAAAAGAAGGCCCCAAGACTGGCCCAAACCCCGGGGGCCCCATGACGGGCCAAGAGGGCTCCGAGAAGGCCCAAGAGCGCTCCAAGACGCCCAATATGTCATAAAGACAGACAGAGGCCCCCCCAAAGAGACCCAAATCATTGATCGTCCATGGGTGTTGAAGGATTTTAGCGCTATCGCCTGGGATTCCGACGCTCCAAGACGGCCCAAAAAGCCCCCACCCAAGATCGCCCCAAGAGGCCCCCAAGGCCAGGCGACGGGAAATAACCACAACTATTACCAGCCTCGAGCGTATCCCTACCCCTAAGATCGACACGCCAGAAGGCGACGACAGTCTTAGGGATTCGCCTTCAAAAAATAGGGGAATCCCTAAGATTGGCATCGTGATGAGGAGGCGCCCAGCATAGGGATAGGGAGATGTTCCAGGCTGGTAAAACTGCTGTTGAAAGCACGTGTCCCGTGCCCGTGTTCGGGGCAGCTGGCGCGGCGGAGCACAGGATGACATGGCCATGGGCACGCGCAGACGCGGCCGAGGAACCTTGAGCATCCTGGGCTGAAAATTTCACGTCGGGGATCTTCTGACCCGGGTCAATCCAGACCTGGGTCAGCAAGAAACCAAAAACTGCAATGGAAGAAACAAAAACTGCAACGCAAATCTTCGCAAACCCGGGTCAGCCAATATGCGAGGCCGCCTCGCGGCCACGAGCGGCTCGCTAACCCGGGTCAGCCAGAGGAGGTCTTCGCAGGATCCTGCAGGATCTGGTGCCCTGGCTGACCCCCGTTTGCATTGACCCCCGTCTCAAGGCTTCCGATCACGCGTGGTTACCCTGGCGCCGCGAGCCCATCCCCCTTGCCCCGCGCCGCCCGCCGCCCGGGGAGCGGCCCTGTCCGAACCTCGAACGTCCACAGAACGAACCCGCCCATTGGTGGTCACCAGAAGACGCGAATGTATTGGACACCTAGAAAGACTACCGATCGCGGACTGACGCGGTCACTCGAAATCCGTCGGCACCGTCGCCAAAAGACATTACTGACTGGGGGGGACTTGACCAGCAAGCGCTCTGTCAGGGTCTTGGCTCGCGGGCCGCACCCTTGCCCGGGGGTCCAGGCCTGGGGTGGCTGGGTGATAATAAGACCGGTTACAACCACTTCGGGTTGTTCAGGAACTCCTTCGGTCAGATTACAACCACTGGGGACGGACTGATCGCAACGTGAAGGATTCGTATACAAATCTTCGTGGATAACACTGGATTGCAACCGATCCAATTACTTGTGCACACTTCGTGCAGAGCTTATGCAGAGCTTACGCAGAGCTTCTGGAGAGCTTCTGCTGAGCTGCTACAGAGCTTCTGCACAATTTCTGAAGAACTTCTGCAGAGCGTATGCAGAGCTTTTGCTGAGTTTAGGCCGAGCTTCTGCAGAGCTTCTGAAGAGCTTCCGAAAAGCTTCCGAAGAGCTTCTGGAGAGCTTACGCAAAGCTTCTGAAGAACTTCTGCAAAGCCTACGCAGAGCTTCTGACGAGTTTGTGCCGACCTTTCGCAGAGCTTCTGAATTGCTACTGCAGAGCTGATGCTGAGCTTCTGCAAAACTTATGCATATCTTCTGCATAATTTCTGGAGAGCTTCTGCTTAGTTTCCGAAGAGCTTATGGCACGCTTATGCGAAGCTTCTGACGAGCTTCAGCAAAGCTTCTGCAGAGCTTCTGACGAGCTTGGGCCGAACGAATGCAGAGCTTCTGCAGAGCTTCTGCAGAGCTTCTGCAGAGCTTATGCTGAGCTTCTGCACAACGACTGCAGAGCCTTTTGCAGAGATTCTGCAGAGCTTCCGCAGAGCTTCTGCAAAGCTTCCGAAGAGCTGCAGCAAAGCTTCTGAAGCGCTTATGCAGAGGTTCTGAAGAGCTTATGCAAATATTGTGCTAAGCTTCTGCAGAGCTTTTGCTTAGCTTCTGCAGAGCTCATGCAGAGATTCTGCAGAGCTTCCGAAGATCTTCTGGAGAGCTTCGGCGATGCTTTTGAAGAGCTTATGCAGAGCGTCTGCCGAGCTTCTGAAGACTTCTGAAGAGCTTCTGCAGAGCTTCTGAAGAGCATCTGAAGAGCTTCTGCCGAGCTTCTGAAGAGCTTATGCAGAACCCTCAGCGAGGCATCTGAGAGGCCTCAGCGAGGCCTTTATATTGACTTCCCTGCAACATGTTCAGAAACTGTTCTGAAACCTAAGAGGAGGCTTCTCTGAGAGGCTTCTCTGAGGCTTCTCTGAAAGGCTTCACTGAGAGGCTTCTCTGAGACCTCTGGGAGGCTTCTCTTCTCTGAGGCCTCTGAAAGGCCGAGGCCTCCGTGAGGACTCAGCGAGGCCTCTGAGAGGCCTGAGGCTTCCGAACGGCTCCCCAGGGGCGTCCGGAGAGGCTTTTGAGAAGGATTATTATGAGCTCTAAATGTCGCTCCATTAGGAGCTTTATTGGGCGCTCTACTGGGCGCTGCATTCGGAGCTCCATTGCGAGCTCTATCACGAGCTTTATTGCGCGCTCTAGTAGGAGCTCTAGTTGGGCAATCTATTCGGGGCTCTATTAGGCGTTTTGTTGGGCGCTCTATTGGACGCTCTACTCGGAGCTCTATTGGACGCTCCATCGGCCCTCTTAAAGATTCTCGAAGATGCCCAAAGATTCCAGAAGATTCCCCGATATTAGAAATTCCCTCGTAGGAATCCTCAATATTCCCGAAGAGACCCTCATCGGATTCTGGCGAATTCCTCAGACGAATCACGTTGGAATCGTGTACGAATCACATCGGAATCGTATACGAATCACATACAAATCGCATACGAATCGCCTAGGAATCGTATACGGATCATGGCCACGCTCGAGCTAAAGTACATGTGTTTAGCTAAGATCGCGATCGGCCGTCGGTCATCGGACCGATCGCAGACGCTTTCTCAGATTCCCATTGGGCGGTTTCAGTGCACCCAGAAGCGATCTTACGATCTCCCTCTTAATCGAAACCTTAGTGAAGCGACCCGAAAACATCGCAACCACTTCGGACCGATCGCAACTGTTTGTGATCAGTCCGAAGTGGTCGACGATCGGTCCGAAGTGGTTGTGATCAGTCTCCATCGCGTGGCTGGGTCTCCCGAAGAGATGGGGTCTTGGAAATGCATTCATCTGCCGGCAATCCCCGGCGGCGTTAGGGCAACCGCCCTTCCCGGCCGCGCAGATTGCATCAACCATGGTCGCCGCGTTTATTTCTGATCCAAGACAACACTGAACTTCACTAGAAAGGTCGAATCACCCCGCCTGACAAGAAGGACCCCGGATGGCTCAGGAAGGCCACGAGACTGCCCGAGAGAGGCCCCAAACAGAACCCCAAGACGGCCCAAAGGAGGAGGCCCCGAGAGAGCCCCGAGCGGGCAGGACACGAACCGGCGATTCCAGCCCTCTGCCCCGGGTGCACGGGGAGACCGGCCCCCGGCCCCCGAGAGGCCCCCCAGAAGCCCCAGGAGGGCCGCCCGGAGGCCCAAACGAGGCCCCCATGGGCCCTGGAAGCGTCAGGGCCGTCTCTTTACCAGTCCCGCTTCGCCGTTTTAATTGCTGGCTCCGACGCCGTTTTTTCCCGGTTCCGTCGCCTTTGCTTACTGGTTCCGGCTCCAATTCCGATCCTGGAGCCGTTTTTGTTGCCGTTTCAGGCTGCCTTCTTTTGCCGTCTCCATTTTCAAGAGACTTTGTGTTCGGAAGCGGTGAAGAACGGCTCTGCTTTTCCTGGGCCCACCAAGCCCAAGAAGCCCCGAGGACGCCATGAACACGTATACTTTTAAGAATCCTGAGCCGGCTCCCTCCCGCACCCCGACCCCTAGTAACCCGCCACGACCATCTTGGAAGAAAGAAGGCCTCAGCGACGAGACCCGACGGGCTCACTTGACTCGAAGAGGCTCCACGATGGGAACCTCGACAAAGCCCCCAAAACGTCAAAAACCTTCCCGCAATCATCGTCCTCCTCCTTCTCCTGCTTCTTACTCCCGCCGTCGTCATCGTCGTCCGTGTCATCCTCTTTCGAGGTTCTGCTCAAGACGACCGAAGAGGCCCCCAAGAGGGCCCGAGAGGCAGTTTTGTGTTGACCGATGTGCGCGTCTTTGCCTTTTCAGCCTTTTTTCGGTCTCCCTTCAGCTGCAGACGGCTTCATATGCGATGCCTCCCAAATGGCCCCGTGACGGCCCAAGAGCGCCTTCGAATGTTCAAAAACGGCCTCAAGACAGTTCAATAAGGCCTCTAGACGGCCCAGGACAGGGCCAAGATATCCCCAAGCTGGCCGAACAAGGCGAACCCCGAACTGTCACCACCCAAGGTGCTGGGTTATCACGGCGGCGGTCAGTGCCGCACGCAGTTGGATAGACGGAACAAAATGGAACAATCAGGAACTGTCATACGCCCGCGCGGGCTTCCCGGATCGGCGCTGGACCTCTTCTCTCCCTGGCGCCGATCCCAGACGTACGCGCGGACCTTCACCAACCTATGCGCATGCAGTCTTCATTCTCCCTCGAGGGAAGAGAAAAGATCCATCCCACTTTTTTGATTCGCGGGTCGAGAGCGCACCTCTTCCGGTCGAAGCTAAGCGGGCCGCGCGAAGCTTGAGGGGGGGACAGAAGGAGAGGCCTCACGGCAAGGCCAGGAGGAGGCAAAGCCTCGGGATCAGGCGGTGCCGAAGATGACGACAGATCCCTCCCACATGCTCGAGACGAAGCCAGGACTGAGACAGCATCGGACCGGCACCAGCTCGGGGAGCTCTCTGACCTCCGGCGCCTCAGGAGGATGGCTCGGGCGCCGCGGCCGCTCCAGAGCGCCCCGGGACGCTCTGCGAGTGCCGCAGCACTCTGGGGCGATGCACCCTCAGATCTCTCTGGGGCGATGTACCCTCAGATCAGGCATGACCTCCTACGGGCGGCTTCAGGGCAAAAGCGGAAACTAGCCAACATGGATTCAGAGATCCTTTTTAATATCGTCCCCCGACTATTTTTCATCATTCTTGGATATGCCTCCTGTAGACCTTTGTGGGCCCTGGAAACGGCAGGGCCGTTGTTTCACCGTTTCCGAAAAAAAAATCCCTTGAAAACGGAAACGGCAAAAAAAAACGGCGACCGGAAACGGCAAAAAACGGCTCCAGGATTGGAACTGGAGCCGGAACCGGGCAAAAAGCGGCGACGGAACTGGTAAACAAACAGCGTCGGAACCCGCAACAAAAACGGCAAAACGGAACCGGTAAAAAAACGGCAGTCGTTTCCAGGGCCCACTAAGCCCCCGACTATGTTTTAACCATTCTTGGATATGCCTGCTGTAGACGGACAGGCCCGACTGAGATGCGCCCCGAACCTGGGCCTGCCTGGCCGCTCGCTGGCTCGAGCGAGCCCTTGCATGCGGCTGCCCCTGGAGAAAGAGAGAGAGAGGGCCCGCCAGAGCACGCTCGCCGCCTCCAGCCCCGGGTAGTTCGGTGGCGCGTGGCACACGCCCTGGCCGTCCTCGCGGCGGGAGGAGGAGGAGGAGGGGGAGGAGGAGGAGGAGGAGGAGGAGGAAGAGGAGGAGGAGGGGGAGGAGGGGAGGAGGAGGGGGAGGAGGAGGAGGGGGAGGAGGAGGAGGAGGAGGAGGAGGAGGAGGAGGAGGAGGAGGAGGAGGAGGAGGAGGGGAGGAGGAGGAGGGGAGGAGGAGGAGGGAGGAGGAGGAGGAGGAGGAGGAGGAGGAGGAGGAGGAGGAGGAGGAGGAGGAGGAGGAGGAGGAGGAGGGAGAAAGAGGGGGAGGAGGAGGGGGAGGAGGAGGAGA